GCATCACAATACACATTCTTCTCAGCAGTACATGGGTCATTCTCTAAACTAGACCTTATATTATCTCACAGAACATATTTAAATAAATGCAAAAGAGTTGAAATTATCCTTGCATGTTATCAGATCATAGCACTTTGAAATTAGAAATTAATGATAAAAGATACTGCAAAAATCCCACAAACACATGGAAACTGAATAACACATTCTTGAGTAATCAGTGGGTCACAGGGGAAGTTAAAGAAGAAAATAAACAATGCCTACAAGCAAATGAAAATACAAATATAACTTACCGGAATTTGTGCAATGCAATGAAAGCTGTCCACAGAGGAAAATTTATTGCACTGAATCCCAACATCAGGAAAACAGAACGAATACAAATAAATAAATTGATGGTACACCTCAAACATCTAGAAAAGGAGGAGCAAGTCAAGGCCAAAGCCAAAAGAAGAGAGGAAATTATAAAAATCAGAGCAGAAATCAATGCAATAGAGACTAAGAAAACAATCCAAAGAATCAATGAATCAAAGAGTTGGTTCTTTGAAAGAATAAATAAAATTGATAAGCCCGTAGCCAACCTTATTTTAAAAAGGGAAGAAAAAGCTCAAATTCATGTAATAAGAAATGAAAAAGGTGAAATCACCACAGACTGTATAGAAATACAGATCATCAACAGCTGTTTTGAAAACCTCTACTCTCAAAGATTTGAAACACAAAAGAAATAGATTCCTAGAAACATATGTAGTACCAAAGCTAGGTCAAGAGGATGTAAAACTGCTGAACAACCCAATCTCTATTAATGAAATTGAGAATGTAATTAAGTCCTTACCTACAAAGAAGAGCCCAGGCCCACATGGATTCACTGCAGAATTCTACAAGAAATACAAAGAGGACCTAATGCCAACACTCCTCAAACTCTTCAATGAAATTGAAAGGGAAGCAATCCTTCCTAAGTCATTCCTGGAAGCAAATATTACTCGACTACCAAAACCTGAGGAAGATCCAACTAAAAAAGAGAACTACAGACCAATCTCTCTAATGAACAGAGATGCAAAAATCCTCGACAAAATATTGGCAAATAGGATGCAGCAAATCATCGAGAAGATTACACAACATGACCAAGTGGGAGTCATTCCAGGCATGCGGAAATGGTTCAGCATACGTAAATCAATAAATGTAACCCACCATATCAATAAAGCCAAAACTAAGAATCACATGATCATTTTATAGATGAAGAAAAGCTTTCGATAAGGTCCAACATTTATTCATGATAAGAACTTTACAGAAAATTGGAATAGATGATCTTTACCTCAATATAATAAAGGTCATCTACAACAAACCAACAGACAGCATCATACCAAATGGCCAAAAATTGAAGGCCTTTACTTTAAAATCAGGCACAAGACAAGGATGTCCCCTGTCACCGCTCCTATTTAATATAGTACTGGAAATACTAGCCAGAGCAATTAGGCAAGAGAGAGAAATAAAAGGAGTACAGATAGGAAAAGAAGAAGTTAAATTATCATTGTTTGCACATGACATGATACTCTACATAGAAGATCCCCTAAACTCCATTGAAAGACTCTTAGATACAATAAATGAATTCAGTAATGTAGCTGGATACAAAATCAGTACTCAAAAATCAATAGCATTCCTATACACTAACAACAAAATCACCGAGAAAGATCGAAGAGAAGCCACACCCTTCACACTAGCAACCAAAAATATGAAATATTTAGGATTTACTCTTACAAAAGAAGTCAAAAATTATACAGGGAAAATTATAATACACTGAAAAAAGAAATTGATGTTGCTCTCAGAAAATAGAAAGACATCCTTTGCTCATGGATAGGAAGAATAAATATTGTGAAAATGGCCATTCTCCCAGAACTCTTATACACATTCGATGCAATCCCAATAAAAATACTATTAACATATCTGATAGATCTAGAGAAATCACTCCTAAAATTCATCTGGAGCAAGAAGAGACCTAGAATAGCAAATACAGTTCTAAGCAACAAATGCAAGGCAGGAGTCATCACAATCCCTGACTTGAAGTTATACTGCAAAGCAACCGTAGTAAAATCAACATGGTACTGGAATCAAAAAAAAAAAGAGAAAGATCAATGGAATAGAATAGAAGATACAACCACAACTACAAAACACACTCAACCACCTTGTCATTGATAAAGGAGCCAAACAGGTTTGCTGGAAGAACGACAGTCTCTTTAATAAATGGTGTTGGAAAAACTGGCTCTCCATTTGCAGAAAAATAAAACTAGACTGATGCCTATCACCATGTACTAAATTAAAATCTAAATGGATCAAAGATCAGAATATTAAAACAGAAACACTAAATCTTTTTTTAAATTTTATTTAAAAGCAAAAAGAGAAAAACCAAAACAAAACAAAGCAATGTGAGGGTACAAGCAATACAGAACTACAAAAAAAAGTATGAAATCACCAGTTAATAGATTACATATTATCATCTTAGAGATAGTTGCTCAAATCACAGTATCAAAGCATACAAAGTGGACATTCAAACAGTGAGACTGCAAACAGTTGTGTTCAATGATCCAACCAAAAACATTAATATGGTCAGCTATTTAACACCCCTAAACACACTTGCTGCTGTATCCTTTAGAGCACATTTTTTCCCTCTCTTTTTACAACAAAATTTACACATTTTGGCTTTTATTACTCCTTAGTTCTTATTACTTTTTTGGAGGGGGAGAGAATAAAGTCAAATATGGCAAAACAAAGCTTTCAGTCAAAACCAAGGATAGACATAGCACATGATGTAAAACAGAGTACAAGGTTATCAACAATGGTTATCAGCAATGTCTGTTTCCTTAAAAAGAATTGTCTATCTCATTAGATATTATAAAGTTGAACACAACAGTAGAGAACAAGACCAATAAAACTTAAGCATTTTAAACATTACAGGACTTCCAAAGGAGACAATAGTCAAACCAGAATGGGCATCTTAGTGAATCTTATTGCCTTCAAAGTAGTTGCCTATACCCCCAAAATTGGTACTATCATACAGAATGGAACAGAGTCTAATCAGTCAAAACAAGATAGTGGGAGTATTACAGGACTTCAAACAAGTTAATAGGAAATCAAAAAAAGTTACTATTATATATCCTGCTAATTTTTTTAATTTTTCCCCTTAATTAAAAAAACATAAAAAATAACTAAATAATTTTTTAATGAATAAGGGAGAGATTGAGATAAAACAGGACATAATAATATAACAATACAGGTCAAAGCATGACTGTTTCAGCAACCTAGTGTTTCACCACCAAATAACCCGACTTAATAGTAGTTACCATAGTGTCTGTCTTTTTCCTTGAAATATTTGAATAAAACTTCATATACTATAGCTTCAAATATTTTCATATCAAGAAGCCCAGAATAAAGCCTTTCCAAATAATAAGTGAAAACTTTACAAGGCTTCAAGGCCACATAATGGGGAATCATGATTACCACATATTTTTACATATTTGAATCATTTCTTACATTAGGGAAATTATTCGGTATTCACACATGCGAGATTGATTTATTTCACTTATGAGTATGGTCTCAAGCTGCGCCCATTTATTGATGAATATCTCAATGTGATCCTTCTTTATAGCTGAATAATACTCCATTGTATAGAAATACCAAAACTTTTTTATCCATTCCTCAGTTGATGGACACTTGGGTTGTTTCCAAGATCTGGCGATTACAAATTGTGCTGCTATAAACATAGGTGCACATATATCCCTGTAATATGATGCTTTCAATTCTTCTGGTAATATGCCTAGAAGTGGAATAGCTGGAATAAATGGGACTTTCAATCCCAGCTTTTTGAGAAATCCCCAGACTGACCGCCACAAAGATTGCACCAGTGTACACTCCCACCAATACTGTAGGAGAGTTCCTTTTGCCCACAGCCTCTCCAGCATTTGTTGTTGTTGGTTTTCTTTATCCTGGCCATTCTTTCAGGAGTGAGATGATATCTCAGTGTTGTTTTAATTTGCATTTCTCTAATGACCAATGACGATGAACATTTTTTCATGTATTTATTTGCCATTTGTATTTCTTCATCTGAGAAGTGCGTATTCATCTCAGATGCCCATTTTTGGACTGGATCTTTGAATTTTGGGGGTCTGAGTTTTTAATTCTTTATATGTTTTAGACAAGAGTCCCTTGTCTGAGAGAGAGTTCACTAAAATTTTTCCCAGTTTGTGGGTTTTCTTTTCACTATGCTGGAGGTTTCTTTTGACATGCAGAAACTTTTTAATAAGAAGTGGTTCCACTTATTCATTCTGGGAAGTATTTCCCGTGTGGTTTGAGTCCTGTTCATGAATTCTCTACCTACTCCTATGTCTTCAAGGTTTCTACCCAATTTGTCTTCCAATAGATTTAGTGTTTCTGTTTTAATATTCAGATCTTTGACCCATTTAGATTTTAATTCAGTACATGGTGATAGACACGGGTCTAGCTTTAGTTTTCGGCATATGGAGAGCCAGTTTTTCCAGCAACATTTATTAAAGAAACTGTCATTCTTCCAGTGAACCTGCTTGGCTCCTTTATCAAAGATAAGGTGGTTGAGTGTTTGTAGTTGTGGTTATATCTTCTAATCTATTCCATTGATCTTCGGCTCTGTTTTGATTCCAATACCATATTGATTTTACTACTGTTGCTTTGTAGTAAAACTTCAAGTCAGGGATTGTGATGCCTCCTGCCTTGCGTTTGCTGCTTAGAATTGCCTTTGCTATTCTAGGTCTCTTCTGGTTCCAGATGAATTTTAGGAGTGATTTCTCTAGATCTATAAGGTATGTTGATGGTATTTTTATTGGGAGTGCATTGAATCTGTATAACAGTTTTGGGAGAATGGCCATTTTCACAATGTTTGTTCTTCCTATCCATGAGCAAGGGATGTCTTTCCATTTTCTGAGACCATCTTCAATTTCTTTTTTCAGTGTATTATAATTTTCACTGTATAGGTCTTTCACTTCTTTTTTTTTTAAATTAAAGATAGTTTATTGTATACTGTAATGCTTCAGAAATTTTGGAGGTTTACAGATTTTTCTTTAAAACAACCTTTAAATTTAAAATGATGATGGTCTCTGAGGCTGATCATTCATAATTACTTAAAAAACTGGGGGCTGGCAGTGAAAAATTCTAACCTAAGTGAAGAAGATTGTAGGGTTTTTTTGGTACCGGGGATCGAACTCATGATCTTGTACTGAAGATATTCTTTAAAAACACACCTAGAGCAGTCTCACAGGTTACTTAAAACAAGTGTGCATAATTTTAGCAGCAACCACTACCTATTTAATACATTAAACAATGTATTTTAAATATATCTGTGATTGGGGCCTCAGTGGTAAACAGCTTGCCTGGCATATCTGAAGCTTGCATTGCATGAACAAACAGCACAGAACAGATGTAGGGATATTGCAGTCTGTTTTGATTCTTATGACACCCATGGTTGGAATTTTGTGATCAACTACTACTGAGAATGCAAGTGTACTAAAGGAAATGTTTACTTGTTCTATCAATGTCAAATTACCTGATTGCCCAAATTATCTATGCTGTCATGACTTTTCCTTCTCATCTATAAAACTCTAACACCTATTATTTCTGTCTTCTTTTACTGTATCTAATCATTTTTAGTTTTCAGTTTCCTTTTTTAGAATCAGTAATGAATCCATTGCTTCTGCTGAGTCTTTGCAGAGCAATACAGATGCAATTGTCTTCAAATTTTTCCTTTTAAGAAAATGTATTAAGTCACTTAAAATATCTAATTCTTTTAAATTTCTAAAATAATTTCACTATTATATGTCATGTGTTTGATTATCCAATGTGGAAAATAAAATTTTTTCTCACGCCCGTGAGCATACTTTGTGACTACTATTTCTGTCATGGATGTGTGGCCTTGTGATCAAAAGACTGATCATGTGTTTGGTCTCTTTCCATATCCTTAGTTTGGAGGGCTGACCACTCCTTGGGCCAGCATCCTGGAAATTACATTTAAAGACACTTTTCATGGTCACTTTAAATCTATCATCATCAAGATCTAAATTTCTACTTTTGGTTCCTTAATGGACCAATTTAATATCCATGAAGATGAACACAAGGAAGTTGCTGCCCCTTTATTACTAACCTGGATGATTTATAATTGAAAAAATATTCACAGTCCATTCTAATTGAAAATTTTGAAGACACTGAAACCACATTTTCTTATTGTCATTACCAATGCAAGAAGAAAATCATGGTCATAACAGGGTTTTCCTAGACTGTATTAAGAAATTAATGCAACTTAATCATATCCTATTTATCTTGTAGGTTAAGAAATATGAAAAGGGAGTAATTTTCTTTCAAACAAGTAGGATCTGCATATATAAGACTTTGAAAATAATTTAATGTTAACTTCAAGATACAACTATATTCTAACACCATATCTTAAATGTGAAGAAACGGATCCTGACAAGACTAAAAGAACCCACAAGCCATGAAATTGGTTTTTTCCTTTTTTTTCTGTTTAAACAAATGTGCACCACGATGTTTCAACAAGTAAGGCAAATGCCATGAACATGAAAGCTGAAATTTGCAATATACCACATCTAGAATCCAGGAGGGGTGAATCAGACAGAAGTGGTAGCCATTCTGATTAAACAATCACATAACATCACAATGAGTTGACTTTTAGCATCGAAACTGTCCAATTAAGTTTCCTTTTTCTTGATGATCAGAGGTCCCACGTTGTCTCCAGTCTCCTCATTGTGTTTTGTGTGAGATCCATCACAGAATGGGAACTTTTTAGACCTCCAACAACGGCAGTACACAGCTTTGTCTCCCAGATCCTCCATGTCAAAAGCATGTACTACTTTGGGGTTGTCTTTCTGGATGTGAAGGTTTATGATAGACTTATTGCGATGATCTTTAACATAGAATTTTTTGTAAGCTAGATATCCAATTACAGCTGTTCCTGCAGCAAGGGTAACTGCTGCAATCCATTCAACTCGCACGCTGGAATTGGAAGTCAGACCCATGGCGCCGCCGCTCGCAAGGCGTGTGCACAAGCCGCCGAGCACAAATGGGTCTTTCACTTCTTTTGTAAGAGTGATTCCTAAATATTTCATTTTTTTTTTTTGCTTGCTAATGTGAAGAGTGTACTTTCTCTTATTTCCCTCTCTGTAATTTTGTTGTTCGTGTATAGGAATGCTATTGATTTCTGAGTATTGATTTTGTATCCAGCCACATTACTGAATTCATTTATTGTATCTAAGAGTCTTTCAATGGAGTTTAGGGGGCCTTCTATGTAGAGTATCATGTCATCTGCAAACAATGACAACTTAACTTCTTCTTTTCCTATCTTTACCCCTTTTATTTCTCTTTCTTGCCTAATTGCTCTGGCTAGTACTTCCAATACTATACTAAATAGGAGTGGTGATAAAGGACATCCTTGTCTTGTGCCTGATTTTAAAGTAAAGGCCTTCAATTTTTGGCCATTTAGTATGATGCTGGCTGTTGGTTTGTCATAAATGACCTTTATTATACTGAGGTACAGACCATCTATTCCAATTTTCTGTAAAGTTCTTATCATGAATAAATGTTGGAACTTATCGAAAGCTTTTTCTGCATCTATAGAAATGATCATGTGATTCTTACTTTTGGCTTTATTGATATGGTGGATTACATTTATTGATTTACGTATGTTGAACCATCCTTGCATTCCTGGGATGAATCCCACTTGGTCATGGTGTATAATCTTCTTGATGATTTGCTGCATCCTATTTGCTAATATTTTATTGAGGGTTTTTGCATGTGTTCATTAGGGAGATTGGTCTATACTTCTCTTTTTTAGTTGGGTCTTTCTTAGGTTTTGGTACTAGAGTAATATTTGCTTCCAGGAATGACTTGGGAAGCACGGCTTCCCTTTCAATTTCACTGAATAGTTTGAAGAGTGTCGGCATTAGGTCTTCTTTGTATTTCTTGTAGAATTCTGCAGTGAATCCATCTGGGCCTGGGCTCTTCTTTGTAGGTAAGGACTTAATTACATTTTCAACTTCATTAAAAGAGATTGGGTTATTCAACAGTTTCACATCCTCTTGATCTAGTTTTGGTACTTCATATGTTTCTAAGAATCTGTCTATTACTTCTGTGTTATCAAATCTTGAAGAGTAGAGGTTTTCGAAATAGGTGTTGATGATCTTCTGCATTTCTGTTGGGTCTGTAGTGCTTTCACCTTTTTCATTTCTTATTGCATGAATTTGAGCTTTTTCTTCCCTTTTTTAATAAGGTTGGCTAGGGGCTTTTCGATTTTATTTATTCTTTCAAAGAACCAACTCTTTGATTCGTTGATTCTTTGGATTGTTTTGTTAGTCTCTATTGCATTGATATCTGCTCTGATTTTTATAATTTCCTCTCTTCTTTTGGCTTCGGGCTTGACTTGTTCTTCTTTTTCTAGCTGTTTGAGGTGTAGCATCAAGTTATTTACTTGTATTCATTCTGTTTTCCTGATGTGGGAAGTCAGTGCAATAAATTTTCCTATGAGGACGGCTTTCATTGCATCCCACAGATTCCAGTAAGTTGTATCTTCATTTTCATTTTCTTTTAGGTATTGTTTAATTTCTTCTTTAATTTCCTCTGTGACCCACTGATTACTCAAGAGTGTGTTATTCAGTTTCCATGTGTTTGCAGGATTTTTGCAGTATCTTTTATCATTAATTTCTAATTTCAGAGCCCTATGATCTGATAACATGCAAGGGATGATTTCAACTCTTTTGCATTTGTTTAAATATGTTCTGTGAGCTAATATATGGTCTATTTTAGAAAATGATCCATGTACTGCTGAAAAGAATGTGTATTCTGATGTTGTTGGGTGGAACATTCTGTATATGTCTATCAAATCCATTTGTTTGCAGGTGTGATTGAGTTCTGTTATTTCTTTGCTCATTTTCTGTCTGGTTGATCTGTCCCTTTGTGTCAAGGCACATTAAGGTCTCCTGTTACAATTGTGTTACTGATAATTTGAGTTTTCATTTCTGTTAATAGTTGTTTTATATAACTGGTTGCTCTGGAGTTTGGTGCATATATATTTAAGACAGTTATCTCTTCCTCTTGAAGTTTTCCCCTTACGAGTATGTAGTGACCTTCTTTGTCCTTTATGGTCATTGTTGGTTTAAAGTTGACATTGTCTGCAAACAGAATGGCTACTCCTGCTTTTTTTGGATTCCTGCTGCATGAAGTATCCATCCTTTGACTTTCAGTCTGTGAGTATCCTTCTGATTTAGATGGGTTTCCTGTAAACAGCATATGGTTGGATTTTGTTTCTTGATCCATTCTGCTAGTCTATTTCTTTTGATTGGTGGTTGAGACCATTTACATTAATGGTTATTACTGTTAAATGCTGGTTTATTGTTGACATGTTATCTCTCTGCTGTTGCATCTTTATCTTTCTGTTCTGTTTAACTATCTGCTTTGCTTAGTGGTTTGTTCCTTTGTGTATCTAAACTGTCTTTCAATAGTTTTTGCAGGGTTGGTTTCATGTTCATGAAGTTCTTCAGCTGTTCTTTGTCATGGAAATATCATATTTCACCATCAATTTTGAATGATAGTTTTGCAGGATACATCAGTCTAGTTTGGAAATCATTTTGCCTTAGGATCTGAAATACTTCACTCCATGCTCTTCTTGACTTTATTGTTTGTGCTGAGAAGTCTGCTGTGATTCTGATAGGTTTTCCTTTATAAGTGATCTGTCTTTTCTCTCTGACAGCTTTTAATAATCTATTCTTGTGTTGGATTTCTGGGATGGTGATTATTATATATCTGGGTGTAGTTTTATTTTGGTTATGACTATCTGGAGTTCTATATGCTTCACTGATCCTGATGTCAGTTTCTGATCTCATGCTTGGGAAATTTTCAACTATTACTTCTCTAAATATCCTCTTGACATCCTTTATGTTGTCTCCTTCTTTTTCATTAATCCCTATCATTCTTATGTTATTTTTCTTTGCAATGTCTTGCAGTTGTTGAATTGTTGTTTCCTGGTTCCTTGTAATTTTTAAAAGATCTTTCCTTTCCTGTTGACTAGCTGCAATCCTGTCTTCAAGGTCTGAAATTCTATCTTTACTTTCATTAAGGCGGTTTTTACAACTTTCAGTGGAGTTTTTTATTTCCTGTATATCTCTGTGCATCTGCATTATGTATTCTGTTTGTTTCTTATCTTGCTCATCTAGGGATTCTATCTTTTTGTTTAGTTCCTCCAATTTTTTATCTGTGTTTTCTTTAGATATATTCAGAATGTCTTTCATTTCTTTTGTCATTTCTTCTTTACCTGGTAGATTATTTCAAGTTTGAATTTCTTTAAAGCTTCCTGGAGTTGCTTGTTAATTTCAGTAGCTATTGTGTCCGATATTTGAGGTGAATGGCATATATTTTCTTCTATATACATTGCTCCTAGGGCTTCTTAAGATGGGCTGGAGGTTTGAGGTTGTAATTTCATCTTTTGTTTTGTCATTTTCCTATATTTCTGTGTTTCAAGTGTTATTTGAAAGCTTCTTAGGGGTCTGTTGGAAATCCCCTTCTATGTTTGCAGCTCCTGAGACTCTGGCACCCTGTTACCCCAAGCCACTGGGCCTGCAGAACCAATGGCCCTCTTCTGCCTGTTTAGAACTCTGTAGTTCCAGATAAGCTGGGCTTCAGGGGCACTGTGCACCCACCTGCTTATTGTAAGCTCCATAGCTCTCCAAGCGCAGCCAGATGGGGAGGCAGATGTAGATGCCTCAAACCCACCTCTCCACTTCACTGCACCCGGAAGCCTGGAGGGACCCGAACAGTCTGGGCTTTGGGCAGAGTGCGCTGAGCACACACCACAGACTGCGGGCCTCTGGAACCTGCGATGCTCCCCTGCCCTCTGAGACATCCTCGGTCCTCCAGACACACTGGCAGGCGGATGCAGGCACCCCAGATCCGCCCAGCCCCTCCTCTGCACACCGATGGTGAGGTGCGGGAGTCCCAAACACAGAAACACTAAATCTATTGGAAGACAAATTGGGTAGAAACCTTGAAGACATAGGGATAGGTAGAGAATTCATGAACAAGACTCAAACTGCATGGGAAATACTTCCCAGAATCAATAACTGGGATCACCTCTTGTTAAAAAGTTTCTGCATGTCAAAAGAAATCTACAGCATAGTGAAAAGAAACCCACAAATTGGGAAAAATCTTAGTGAACTGTCCCTCAGACAAAGAACTTCTGTCTAAAACATATGAAGAATTTTTAAAAATCAGGCCCCCAAAATTCAAAGATCCAGTCCAAAAATGGACATCTGAGATGAATATGCACTTCTCAGATGAAGAAATATAAATGGAAAATAAATACATGAAAAAATGCTCATCATCATTAGTCATTAGAGAAATGCAAATTGAAGCCACACTGAGATTCCATGTCACTCCTGAAAGCATGGCCAGGATCAAGAAAACCATCACAACAAATGCTGGAGAGGCTGTGGGGAAAAAGGAACTCTCCTGCACTGTTGGTGGGAATGTAGACTGGTACAACCATTGTGGAGGTCAGTCTGGAGATTTCTCAAAAAGCTGGGATTGGAAGTCCCATTTGTTCCAGCTCTCCCACTTCTAGGCATATTCCTAGAAGAACTGAAAGCATCATACCACAGTGATATATGTGCACCCATGTTTACAGCAGCACAGTTTGTAATAGCCAGATCTTAGAAATAAACTAAGTGTCCATCAACTGAGGAATGGATTAAAAGAGTGGTGGTCTTTTTATACAATGGAGTATTACTCAGCTATAAACAAGGATCACACTGAGATATTTATAAATAAATGGATGCAGCTTGAGACCATACTCATAAGTGAAATAAATCAAACTCACTTGTATGAATACCAAATAGTTTCCCTAATGTAAGAATTGATTCAAATATATAAAAGTATGTGGTAATCATGATTCCCCATTATGTGGCTTTGAAGCCTTATAAAGTTTTCACTCATTAATTGGAATGGCTTTATTCTGGGCTGTTTGATATTATTGCCTGTGATGAAATGAACAGCTAATTTGAGGAAAACAAG